TTCCTGCACCCTCACATCCACAAGCCTGTGGCTTGCTTAGTACCCCAACATTGCCCGGCCTGGAGCCCCCTCCCTGAGCCATTGTCCCCTTCTCCACCTCCTCCTGCATCCAGATTTCCTCCCAGAGCTTGCACTGCTCACCCCTTCCCATACCCAAATCCCTCATTCCCACCTCAGAGTCTACATCCTGTCTCAACCCAGTGAGGGTGTGGCTAGACTGCAGGAGTTTTTCAGGATTCTAGAGATATCCCAGGAAAAACTCTTCTGCATCCAGGGTTGCATTTGTTCTTCCGCTTTTTTAGTGGAAGAGCAAACAGGGTCTTTTGGTCACCCCATATTCCTCTTTCCATAAGGAATGAGGGGGCTTCCAAAAGAAGGGTTTTTTTCTGACATTTGGTCTAGTCTAGACAGGCCAAATGTTGGAAAAACCTCTTCCTACAGAAGAATTTTTTTTGTTATTAAAGCAGCAGTATAAGGATTGGGCATAGCAAGTGATGGAGAGGAGGAGAATAGAGAGGGTGGGGCTTCAAGGAAGGGGTGGGCCTTCAAGGAAGGGGCGGGGTGGTAGATCTTGGAGACCGCTGCTCTGATGTATCTACAGAGAACAATCATATGTCCCCTCGGTCTTTGGGTTAGGCTAAACAAGCCAAGCTCTTTGTCTTTTCACATAAGATACTTTTTTTTTTTTAATTCCTCAGGTCATTCAAGTATAGTTGCCCTTTTGTGCACCTGCTCCACTGTGAATTAATTTTTCTTAAATATGGGAGACCTCAATTGCATACAGTATTCAATATGGAGTCTCCCCCTTGCCTTTTTATGATGGCATTAACACTTCTCTGTGTACTGGCAATACTTTGTTGCATCGTAGGACTACATTAGCCTTTTTCATGGCCATATCATGTTCATAGTCATCCTGTGATCAACAAGTATACTCAAGTCCTTCTCCTACTGTCACTTCCAACTGATACATTCCTAGTATCTGATACATTCTTGTTGTTCGCTAAGTGCATGACTTTGAGCAATTAAACTTCATCTAATTTCTATTACTCTAATATCAGGGTCATCCCAGTCTTCTTGTATAACATTTCAGTCCTCCTCCATATTGGCAGTAACTCCCAACTTTGGGTCATCCAAAAATTAACTCCTACTTTTTGTTTCATGTTTGTTAATAAAAATGTTAAGATTAGGTTCCAGTGCTGATCAGTGAGGAATTCACTAGTAATTTCTCTCCAGTCTGACAGTTCATCTTTCAATGACCCATTGTAGTCACCTCTTTAAGCAGTTCCTTATCTACCTTTCAATTCTCATATTAATCCTAATATTCTTCAATTTTACTAATTTTCCATGTGGAGGAATATCAATTGTCTTATTGAAATCTTGGTATATTAGGTTTAACATGTTTCCTTTGGAAACCAGGTTGATTTGATGTGCTCTACCTTTTATAAAACTGTTGTATTTTATCCCAGTTACTGTTTACCTGTATTAGCTACTTGCTTTCAAAATTGGTTCAAAAACTTTGTGTATAAATGAAGTCAAACTAATAGGCATGTAGTTTCTCAGATCATGTTTTTACCCTTTCTTATAAATAGGAGCTGTTAGCAATTTTCCAGTCACAAAATATGAACTCCAAGTTTACAGTTTGATTAAAAATCCTTGCTATTGGGCTTACACTTTCATGTGCCAGCCCCTTTAATATTCTTGAATGGAGATTATCCAAGTTCCCAGATTTAGTCCCATCAAGCTCTATGGGTTTGATTTCCACTTCAGATGTGGTCACTTCTACTTCCACATACTCATTCCCTTTAGCTACCCTGCCACTGACCCTAAGCTCTTCATTAGTCCTATTAAAAACTGAAGCAAAGTATTCATTTAGGTGTTAAACCATGTCTAGATTAACTTTAATCTCCACCCCATCCTCTGTTTAATCGTCCCACTATTTCTTTCCTTTTTACTTCATACTTATGTGATGATAGAACCATTTACTGTTGGTTTTAATTTCCTTTGCAAAGTCCAACTCTGCTTGGCTTTTGACAATTCTCATTTTATACCCACTCTTCCTGATCTCCAAGAGGTAGCTTTCCACTTTCCTTGCTGATCCATCCCATCTTCCATTTCTTGTAGGCTCTGTCTTTAATTAAACTGTTTGACATGCTTGGTCTGCAATCCTTCCCAACAGAATTTTTGCCCTATGCTTGGGATGCAGATCTTGTATAGTTTCTGCAGCTCTGACTTAAAGTAATTCTAAGCCTGCTTCATATTCAGATCCTTGAGTTCTTCAGTCCAATCCACTTCCCTAACTAATTCCTTCAATTTAATTTAATGTTTGCAGTTTTGAAATCAAGGACTCTAGTTGGAGATCTATTTTTCTTTACCTTTCCATTTAGCTTAAACTGAGTTCCCGCATAATCACTTGAACCAAGGTTGCCGTCTACAAACAGTTCTTAAATGAGAACCTCGCTATTTACCAATACTGAATCTAAAATGGGATTACCTCTTGTAATTACCTCAGCAACTGTTTGGTGAATAAATCTGTCAGCTGTCACATCCAGGAAGATCTATAATTAGTAGCAATTTCCCGTCAATCTAAAGTTGGGAAGTTTAACATCTCCCATAAACATGCAGTTTCTAGTGGTATTTGTTTCACTAAAAACATTAAAGATTGAATCCTAAGGGGTCTGTAGCATACTCCAGGTATATCCCAAGGGAATCTCTCTAGCTTTCTTTCCCAAAGTGATTTTGGCTAAACCAGATTCTGTCTTCTAATTTCTTTACAGTTTCTTTCATCGTTAACATACAATGCTACTCTACCACCTTTATTTTTCTTTCTTTCTTCTTGAACAGTGGATACCCTTCAATACCTGTTCTAATATACAAGGTTGTCTGGGGCACCTCCAAGAGGGTCAGATCAGGGCAAATTGGTTAGAACCAGGGCTATTTATTGCCCAAGACCGGGGTCCTCCCTATAAGGCATCCAACCAGTCACACAGAGCAATTCAGCTGCCACCCTAGCCAGCAAGAATTTTCACAAGCAATCCCCTTAGACTCTCCAGTTTTACCTGTGCCACAACCAGCACCACACTTGACACAGATGAGAGGTTATAAAACCGATCTCACTGATTCCAAACAGGTTCTCCTGGTGCCAAAGGACCAACTACAATCCCAGGTCAATTTATACCTCAGACCTTACATTAAAGAGTATGCAGTGCCAAGCCTTTAGAATCTAAAGGTTTATTAATAAAAGAAAGAAAAGGTTGAGAGTAGGATTGTTAAAGAAAATACATTACATACATCAATCTCCAAGTGTTTGGATGCAGGCTTTTAGCAGAGTTGTAACAAACTGCCAACTTAAGTGTCTGGAGCACATCGTATGTTTTGATGAGTCAATGCTCCTTTCTGGCCATCT